GAATCACTTGTTTTACTGCACGTGCTGCCTGCCATGTGACTTCCTGTTTACTACAAATAAACATTAAAACAGCAACGGGCTTCCTTGGCGAGTGTGTACGTGCACAGTCCGACGGTCGGTCAATCTTCAAACCATATAAAGTCATAACCATAAGTATTTGATTTTTGACCTTTGAAATTTATAGGCATGTGTCATTTTGTTCAATTTGAATTAAGTTGAAATACTTTAATGATCTTAAGCAAATATAAAACCGTGCAACGTCAATGCATGATTATTCGCCAAAACAGACTCGATTTGGCGTCAGGGGCATATTGCTGTAGAGCTAATATGAATGGATCACTGAACTTCAGTTGTGACACCAGGTGTTCGCGGAAAGGATAACCATGTCCGGCCCTACCTGAACCACCGCCACACAATTTGAATATTAAGAAAGTAGGTATTTATTGCCCGACACGGCACAGCAGTACGACGACGGCCTGTAAACAAACCAGACAATCCAGTGATCAATGGACCAGCAAATTCACTGGCACGAGAATGCATTTACCTATTTCTTGCATCCTAATATTTTCTGTTTTGTGGTTTAACTTTGCTTATCTTTTCCGTTAGTAGCATTTGTACATGCTTAGTCTGTTTCAAACTTGTAAAACTATAACAAACGTAAGCCCTCCTCGTCGAACTGGTAAGTTGGTAAGCAGGAAAGATAAAGACAGGTCAATACCTCCTCGCTTTACTTTTCACTTAGACGTTCCTTGACGGCCATGCCACCGTGGCCTATTTGTAATTTACACAAAGAAAAAGGTTAAGCACACCCTAATATATTTCATTATTGTTTGGTCCCAATATTTGTAACAATCATGAAATATATAATTACGGGAAGAATTATGTTTTCTCGAGATGATGTGATCAGTCATGCGTGACGAAAGCTCACGTGCCATGCATGGTATGCCTGTGCAGCATGCTACCCTCGAGTATCTCTAAAAGCAGTATTCCAAACGTTAAAGGGGCGGTCGGGTAGCCTAGTGGTTAAAGCGTTCGCTCGTCACGCCGAAGACCCGGGTTAGATTCCCGACATGGGTACAATGTGTGAAGCCCATTTCTGGTGTCCTCCGCCGTGATATTGCTGGAATATTGCTAAAAGGATAACTCTTATTCTACCCGCGTCTTACAGTAAAATGTGGGCATTTCAGCATCCCTCTCTTGTTCCTGATGTCAAAGTATTGAACCGCTCTGATATATATAAAGATTCTATCTCTATATAATTATATAAACATATATACATATATATATATATATATATATATATATATATATATAAACAAGTGATCTCATCAGGTGTATAAGTAAAGGAGATGAGAGAAATAAAACGTAGTCCTAGGCGACAGTCAACGTTATGCTTTTGACGTCATAAAGCATATGACATCACAGCTAGTGATAATAGTGGGAGGCATGAATACATTATTGTGTGGGTGCACAAATACACATTGAGCTACATGGGGAAGGTTTGAAAATGATACTTTTGAATTAAGTTTAGGTTTCCAAAGCCTAATGAACATCTGTTCTTTTTCCATTCATAAATGTTTGTCATTGTTAAATAATTTATAAAACGGAAAGACAGTAAAATTACCATTCATCAATGTGTTTGCTAACATTTATACAACGTTGTTTTTAACAGTAAATAGTTTATCTTGGCAGAATTAAAATTGGCAGTCTTCAATTATTATTGGAGACGGTTCCACATCGAGGTGTGTTATACTTTGTTTCACTGACGGTCTTTGTGTTTTGTGAGTATTTGAATGGACAAAGAATTTGTTGAAGATTTCTAGGCTGTCTAGGGCTGCGTATAAGTTTACACTTAGATAAACATGTTGTCATAGTTTTACTTTGCTGTAAAATTGGAAGATTGGCTTTTATAAGGGGTATAATTTTACAGTTTCTAAGATTGTAGGTGCACACAGATGGAAGAATGTGTCTGTATCTGTTTCTTTTGTTTTCATTCATGTCTCTCGCGTATTGTATACATTCATCCATAATGTATTCATGCCTCCCACTATCATCACTAGCTATGACGTCATATGCTTTATGCAGTATCACTCCTTCTGTCTGAGCTGTCATTAATGAATCTGTCCTTTCATGGACAACGTTAACATTAGTATACGCATTTTATATGTGTTCATTACAATAACTTTGTGAAGGAATGGCATATCCTCCATGTCTAGAGATGTACGTATAAAAGTATTTCTAAATATAACAAACAACGTATCAAGACCAGTACGTCATATATTCAAAGCATGGTGGTTGAGCGAGTGCGTGAGTGAGTGAGTTGATTTTAACGCCGCTTTCAAAAGTATTCCAGTTATATCGCGGCGTGTCAGCTTAATGTGGGAGGAAAGCCCGAAGTGATGTAGGTCTCAGACGTTTACCACTTCGGTGAAACCCACGAGCACGGGTGTGGTGCTGACAAACCTAGAAACATAATCGGGGCGAACCGGGATACAAACCAACAATCAACTCTGCACAGCAAAGCGGCGCCTTAGACGACTGGGCTACCCGTGACCCCACACCCAAAGTTATGTATCCTAATGCACTCAAATCTGAACAGATATTGAAATATAACCTGTCACTGAAATATATCGTATCACATCAAGGTTGTTGAGGCTTGAGTGGGTGAGTGGGTGAGTGAGTGAGTGGGTGAGTGGGTGAGTGGGTGAGTGAGTGGCAAAACAAAAGCATGAACATCGCACCCAGATCCTTCATTTTGTCTGCTCTTACGACAAGCAGGATGTGCTGCTGACACTCATTTCTGTACCTCCACCAGAAAAGAACCATCAACTAAATCAACACTGTCAGTCCCGTGAAGATCCGTGGTAGAATGGGTCTTCAGCAACCAATGCTTGCTGTAAAAAGCGACTATGCTTGTCGTAAGAGGCGACGAATGGGATCAGGTGGTCAGGCTCGCTGACATGGTTGATGCATGTCATCGTATCGCAATTACGTGGATCGATGCTCATGATGTCAATCACTAGATTATCTGGTCCAGACTCGATTATTTACAGACCGCCGTCATATAGATGGAGTATTGCTGAATGCGGCGTTAAACAACAAACAAACAAAACAAATTTACATCCTTGCCTCATTTAACAAAACTGTGGAATGCCTTGTTTTTATCACAGGACTTGACATGCTTCACAAGGGAATCATCAGACAAATAAATTTCTGTATAGCCCCATAGTCAGTACCACCATCAGGATAAACAACTTTCGGTTTTGTAAAGACATATACTTTTGTTTTTGAAATATATAATCAGGTGATCACCCGAACCAGGACCCAGGCATCGTTGAAATAAACATCGCTGTTAATGGGAGTCTAGCAACGTTAAAGAACTGAGAATAATATATCTATATTAGATCGAAGTGTGATCAACTACGTGTGCTTCGTGACAACACCCACGCCATCCAGGCATCAACCACGTCACCGATCAGGACCAGCGAGCTTCATACACCGGGGTCCTTTTAAATGAAGTTTAATGGTAAACTCTACTCAAACCTAACGTGGAAAGCATTCCATCGAAAACACTGCTTGGTAGATGTAATGTTCCTAAACTATCTAGTGGCTTGTCTCAGGCAACTGAGTGAGTTGGGTTTAACACCGCTTTTAACAGTATTCCAGTTATATCGCGGTGTGTCAGCTTAATGTGGGAGGAAAGCCTGAAGTGATGCAGGTCTCAGACGTTTACCACTTCGGTGAAACCCACGAGTACCCGCTGACAAACCTAGAAACATAATCGGTGCGAACCGGGATTTGAACCCACAATCATATGTTTCTGGCAGCACTGGCAGTGTGTCACCCAGTATCCCTGTCTGACCAAATAGCAAAGTTTTGCAAGCAGCATCGCGGAAGGACATAAACCTACTCTGTTGTCTACTGAAATGTGAGGTAGACTCACTCTAGATTAGATACCACTTGTTATAATTTTGGACCGAGCGCTTCAGCGGTCTATAGTTATTGCTACTTCTGCCACGCACTTATACTAAGTATAGTTAAGGAAGTAATGGAGTATCATGGCCGCTGTATTAGCAGCCACATTCGCTGCTAACATTTCACTTATGGCGTTTCTAACACAAGCTCACAAACAAATCCAACCGATACTAAATCAAATTAAAACTGGGCTTCCACATTGATCTTCAAAATTGGCACTAAAAATCTATTGGCTTATATTAAAAAAATACATTCATGCCAAATTCAACACCCAAACTACAACTTAGTAATGAAGAAACCACATCCCAAAAACAAGCAAAATTACTGGAGTAACTTTTGACATACATTTAACATGGACACCCCACATTTGGTCCATGTTTGGTCAATTCCTGTTAAGATGATATTAAACTCACGACAGCCATCAGCGGCACTGACAGGGGTGCTGACAAACAAATATTGCTTAACATTATAAAACTCTTTTACATGCCAAACTGTACTACGCCGCTCATGTTACCAACACAGTCACAAACTCCACTACATTTAACTCAATCCAATATAAAGCTCTAAAAATAGCCATGGGCACAAGATCTGGCACCTCTCTTAACAATCGCCTTCACTTTCAGGCAAAACCTCAACACAAACGTATATACACACACAAACTTATATACACACACAAACTTATATACACACATAAACTAGAAAACATTCCACATGCACTACTCCCCAATAAATACTCAAATGACAACCCCCACCACACAGACACATCACGACACACCCCCACCACACAGACACATCACGACACACCCCCACCACACAGACACATCACGACACACCCCCACCACACAGACACATCACGACACACCCCCACCACACAGACACATCACGACACACCCCCACCACACAGACACATCACGACACACCCCACGACACCTTAGGCTCGGTACAACATATTCAAAACAAGTATTCAAAACACTTGACCTGACCTCATGAATAATATTATAATTTAAACTCTATACTAAAATCAGTAAATAAAGCTAAAAAAACTCTACGGATACCTGGCCACACCAACATACCTTGCCACACCAACATACCTGACCACACCAACATACCTGACCACACCAACATACCTGGCCACACCAACATACCTGGCCACACCAACATACCTTGCCACACCAACATACCTGGCCACACCAACATACCTGACCACACCAACATACCTGACCACACCAACATACCTGGCCACACCAACATACCTGACCACACCAACATACCTGGCCACACCAACATACCTGGCCACACCAACATACCTGGCCACACCAACATACCTGACCACACCAACATACCTGACCACACCAACATACCTGACCACACCAACATACTTGACCACACCAACATACCTGGCCACACCAACGTACCTGGCCACACCAACATACCTTGCCACACCAACATACCTGGCCACACCAACATACCTGACCACACCAACACACCTGACCACACCAACATACCTGGCCACCACAACGCGGACCTGGCCACACCAACATACCTGACCACACCAACACACCTGACCACACCAACATACCTGGCCACACCAACATACCTGGCCACACCAACACACCTGACCACGCCAACATACCTTGCCACACCAACACAACTGACCACACCAACATACCTGACCACGCCAACATACCTGGCCACACCAACATACCTGGCCACACCAACATACCCGGCCACACCAACATACCTGGCCACACCAACATACCTGGCCACACCAACATACCTTGCCACACCAACACACCTGACCACACCAACACACCTGACCACGCCAACATACCTGGCCACACCAACATACCTGGCCACACCAACATACCCGGCCACACCAACATACCTGGCCACACCAACATACCTTGCCACACCAACACACCTGACCACACCAACACACCTGACCACGCCAACATACCTGGCCACACCAACATACCTGGCCACACCAACATACCCGGCCACACCAACATACCTGGCCACACCAACATACCTGGCCACACCAACATACCTGGCCACACCAACATACCTGACCACACCAACATACCTGACCACACCAACATACCTGGCCACACCAACACACCTGACCACGCCAACATACCCGGCCACACCAACATACCTGGCCACACCAACATACCTGGCCACACCAACATACCTGGCCACACCAACATACCTGACCACACCAACATACCTGACCACACCAACATACCTGGCCACCACAACGCGGACCTGGCCGCCAAACTAGCCACAACAACCCTCCCATCTCATCACAAAGTGCCATATTTTTTCCAAATCGGTTCACTTTCATTACCAGGATACACAGTGGTATAACACAACTTAATACTGTACTACACAAACAAAACCGCCACCCCAATGGGAACTGTACTCTTTGCAACACCCCCGAGGACCTTGCCCACATTTTTAGTCACTGTCCTTTTACCATACTTATCAAACTGTACGTACCTTCTCACTTTAGGCACAATCTATCCCTCCATTTTAGCCCTCTTAATTCGCAGTCAGTCTCCCCGGGCATTTCAACTTTCATTAAAAGCAGTAATCCAGAAAACTAGATTTTAGACCCATTCCAAAAAAGACATTCTGCACCACCTGCAATAAACGCAAATCACTGCATTTCAGATCGGGATCCAAATTCTAAGGCCAGATTGTCCTCTACGACGTCCGCGCGCCAAATTACAGTTTAACCAGCCACACCGAATGTAACACTTTTATAAGGCTTTTATATAACTATCAGCGTAACTGGTACATATTAAAAATGCTCCCATTGTGCTTTACTACCTAGTTTCTATTTATTTAGTTATTTTTCCCTTTTTTCTTTTTCACCCTTTTATTTGCTGACCTTGCCAGCCAATGGTCTTTCACATTCATGTATCGAGTCTCTTTCATCAACAATACTATATACAGTATACCTTATATTTTTTTAGCTTACATTTACACGCATTATCTACATATCTTTGGGTCAGGTTATTTTACCCTATAGCCACTTATCAAATTTCCAAATTTAATAAGTGACCTGACCCCGACTGCGAAATAGAAGTTGTCTGAAGCGTGTGTAAAACATCAAGAACCCTCTTCTGTACATCACGTGCAAGGGGCGACGGGAAGCCCAGTGGTTAAAGCGTTCGCTCGTCACGCAAAAGACCTGGGTTCGATTCCCCACATGGCTACAAAGAGTGAAGCCTATTTCTGTGTCCCCCGCCGTGATATTGCTTGAATAAAACCATACTCTCACTCACATCACTTACCTGATGACGGTGATAGTAATAATTACACCGAAACGTCGCATTTATTTATCTCCATTGTTCATCATGCCAATTTGTATTGCCACTTAAAGGAGAGCAACGGTAATGCTGTTTCGTAGCCACAGTGAACGAGACCCGTGAAGACCCAATTGCGTGGATAGATGCTCATGATATTAATCACTGGATTGTCTGGTCATGATACAACGGAATCTTGCAATCGACTCTGCCTTTAGCCGAGATATCTTGTGACTATGGAAAGAGACCCGTGAAGATCCGGGGATAGAATAGGTCTTCAACAAGCCATGCTTGTCGTAAAAGCCGACTATACGTGTCGTAAGAGGCGACTAACGGGGTCGGGTGGTCAGGCTCGCTGACTTGGTTGATGCATGTCATCGTATACCAATTGCGTGGATCGATGCACACGATGACAACTCAATTATTTACAGACCGCCGTCATATAGCTGGAATATTGCTGAGTGCAAATAAATAAACAAACAAACACAGTGAATAATATTACAGTTTTTTCACGTAAACAATCGACCGGACCAGACAAGGGGGTGAGAGTATTAACAAAAGATAAACACCGACTGTTTGGATATATTGCGGACTGTGACGTAAAACAACATGCACTTATTTTCTCAAATATGTATTTTCCCCCATTGCCCTCGCCCATCGATGACTCACGGACAATGAGCCCCGCCCACTTAATGGATTTCAGGCGTCTAAATGGATCGGATAGTCTTGCTCTGTTCCCGTCTGTCGTATTCCGACGTCGTGGGTCATTGCTCATAAATTACAGGAATATACAAACAAATTCAAAAACAAATTCTAAATTATCTTCAACACCCCATGCGGACCCGCGTGGGTGAGTTACCACCTGTGGGGCAATGCCATGAATCATGTTCTGTTCTCAGATAAACTTAGAAAACAATAAATTACTTTCAAAACATGTTTTTCTCTTCTATGACTTCAGAAGGTGTGGCAAATGTGTGACAAACCATCGATCCGAAATAGTCTACAGGGTCAATAAAAGGATGGCGGCAGAGGTGGTGTTTCATTGCCAGACAGACCAAGAGAGCTCCACAGGTGAGTGAAGTACAGATTGCTTAAATCCATCACACTGTTTCCAATCATAGTTCGTCGAGACCCGTGAAGCTCCGGGGTAGAATACGTCTTCAGAACCCATGCTTGCTGTAAAAGGCGACTATGCTTGTTGTAAGAGGCGACTAACGGGATCGGGTGGTCAGACTCACTGACTCACTGACTTGGTTGATGCATGTCATCGTATCCTAATTACGTGGATCGATGTTCATGATGTCAATCGCTGGATTGTCTGATCCAGACTCGATTATTTACAGACCGCCGTCATATAGCTGGAATATTGCGGTGTTAAACAGCAAACAAAAAAACAAACAAACAAACATTGTTCGTCGAGAAGTGTTGGTGTTGCACGTTAATGGTAGGGTTGCCATACTATGCATTCTGGGCGATGGGTCATGTTTTGTTCCCCACCGGGGACACTCTGTGGTACCCATGTCTGGGGTACTTCGTCCTGATAGTGCAGGAACATTACAAAAAGCTTGGTATAGCCAAATAACTCACTCAACATTCAGACAGTATCATAACACCCAACACTTTTCCGTGCTTTACTCGATATGGTGCCACGCCTAACACGCCTAACACGCCTGTTTAACGTCGCGTACAAGATTTTTGCACTAACATAGCGACCTGCATGCAAGTGTGTGTGTGTGTGTGTGTGTGTGTGTGTGTGTGTGTGTGGCTGCTTGAACTAGTCCGGACTGATGCCGATTTAAAGTGCAAGCCCACTTAGCTACCATTTAACATGAATACCCCACTCAGACACAGTATACTGGCTCCGAGCCGAGCCCCTAAATGCACGAGCGCCACTCGGTAACAACAAGTAACATCTTTTGGTATGACGCGGCCGGGGATCGAACCCCCGTCTTTCCGCTTTCCAGCTTCCACGGAAGGTGCCCTACTAATATTCACGAACCATGTAATAAACATGCATGACGTCACAAGGAGGATGGAGCCACTGAATAGGCAAAGTTCGTTTACCCACATTGGTACAATGTACAAAGCCCGTCTCATGTGTTCTCCATGCGTGGCGGGGGCACGGGTAGCCCAGTCGTCTTAGGCGCCGCGATGCGCTGTGCAGAGTTGCGTCCCTTGGGCACGCCAGAAACCTATGATTGTGGGTTCGAATCCCGGTTCGCCCCGATTTATGTTTCTAGGTTTGTCAGCACCATACCCGTGCTTCGGAGTTTCCTCCCACATTAAGCTGACACGCCGTGATATGACTGGGATACTGTTAAAAGCGGCGTTAAACCCACCTCACTCACTCACTCCATGCGTGGCATTGCTGAAAAAGTATAAAGGCGGCTTAAAACCTTATTCAGTCACATAAGACTGAAGGCAACATAACGTAATATGTTTTTTTTCTTTCCAGATACATTCGCACGCATTACGTTATAAGAATGAATTCACTCCAAGGAATGGTAAACTGGTGTCAGTACAAGTTTCAAGAAGCGCGGACAGAGGTTCGAAAACTCCTAGGCAAGGAAAATCGTTACATCGTAGGACCTTGCCTGACACCAGAGACTGTCCCAGTGTTTGTCATTCCTAAATACAGACCAGATCCTCTTCCTTCCCAGGAAAAGAAGCAGTGGGTAGAAGAAGAGCTGCGGCTCAATACAAGTCTTCCTTTCCACAGCTATAAAGCTGAGAAGAGGCCAACGAATGCCAGCATCTCCAAACTAGAAACCCTGAGAATTAAGCAGTACCGGGTGTGTCTGGCTTCGTGGAAACATGCTTCGCGGAATCATAAGGACGACAATAATGAGATCAAGAGCTCAGAAGGCAATCCAGCCTCTCAGCCTCTTACGTTTCCTAAAATAGAGGCCATTCCTTCTGTCTGTTTTGGAGTGAATGAAAGACCCAGGGCGGGATCCTTCTTCAAGAGGAAGAGGACACAACCAGAAATATTGTCTGAAGAAGGATCTAGTCCTGGTTACACAAGTCAAGACTCTTTACAAGAAGGGTCGCGTCTCATACCAGATCAGGAACTGTCATCTGAAGACAACCTTTATTGTAATGAACTTCCACCTCATTCGGAGAACCGGGCGGCCGAAAAGAACGATGAATGTTTGGATACATGGAAGATATCATTCTCGGAAAGGAACAATGTTGTGGACAGGACATCCGCAGTTCCATTGGTCGCCGGGTGTCCCAGGGGTCGCTGCTCCGTGCTGAAAACAGAGGAGGACACGTTCTCAGTGCGAGTGATTGAGTGAGTGAGTTATGTTTATCGCCGCTTTTAACAGTATTCCAGTTATATCACGGCGTGTCAGCTTAATGTGGGAGGAGAGCCCTTCTCAGTGCGAGCTGATTCGAGTCTCTCCGAGTGGTCATACAGTGGAAGGACGAGCCTCTAAATACAATAGCACTTCCCATCTCCATTTGATCTCCAGGGGGAGGTCACGATCGAGTTCTTCAACCTCAGCAGCATCCATAAAGGACGACTACTAGGGGGTGAAACATTTAGCCTTGGTTCATGCTGACAAAAGGTAGAAACAGTGAGTGAGTGAGTGAGTATGGTTTTACGCCGCTTTTAGCAATATTCGAGCAATATCACGGCGGGTGACACCAGAAATTGGCTTCACACATTGTACCCATGTGGGGAATCGAACCCGGGTCTTCGGCCTGACGAGCGTGCGCTTTAACCACTAGGCTACCAGACCGCCCCGGTAGAAACAGGAAGATATATTCGGCAACCAAGAAAGGCGAGTGTGTGAATTATGTAAGTGTAACACCATTGAAGATGCGTTTCACTTTGCTATGATTTGCACTGCTTATAATGCCATTAGGTTAAAATATATTTGTAAAAGAATGTATGTTTTCACTCATCTCGCTATAAATTAAAGTGGCATTGGGGTAGCCTAGTGACATACCTAACTGTGTAAAA